AGTTATGAGATCATATAATTGTGAATGTATATATGAAATTGATAAAATAAAATTTAAAAAAAAGTAAAAAAAAAATCTAGGCTTCCCCATTGACTTCGCCTTGTCAGGAGCTTGCAAAAGGCGATCACATAACTCTGGGACATTGCAACTGTCATACATATGAGCCAGTTGCCCAGTGTCTGAATTTTGATCATGTGAACATGGACGGTCATAAATATGAAAAGCAGTCGTAAGTCACTTTTTCAAGTGCCATTATAACATCACTAAAGAAATGTCAAAGACTATCTCCACTCAACCGTGGCAACGTTAAGATGTGTGGACTCCAACTCCCAGAATTCCCCAGCCAGCCATACTACTTGGGGAATTCTGGGAGTTGAAGTCCATGCATTTTAAAGGTGCCAAGGTTGAGAAACAATGGATTAGACACAGTTGCATTCTTCACAAAATGATCTGTTTTCCCACAGCTAGAGGAGTTACAAAGGTCCCCATTTACCGTACCTCATTGTTCCACCGGTCACGCCAAGGCATCCAGTGATGCCCATCCCGCTTGTAATGGAGCCGATAAGAGCGAGCAAATTCCTTGCCATGGCCACCGGCATGGCGTCCCTGCGTCCCCACCAAGGTTAGGAAATGCAGCCGGCGCAGGTCTATTTCCAGGTACTCTGCATCATTGGGATAGACAGGTCCTGCAGGGCACCAAGCTCCATCGCCCTCACTCAGGCCCAGCCTGTACAACAAGAAGATGTTGTTGTGAGGTGAAGTTGTTGAGATGTGAGATAAGCCTTTTGGACTGCCTATATCACAGAGCTCATTTTATTTATGTGTTTATTTTTATCCTACCTTTATTGTTTTTTAAATACCTCAAAATAGCAAAGATACAGACTACTTATTCCTCCTCCATTTTAAGCCCCACAACCTCTTGTGAGGTGAATTGGGCTGAGAGAGAATGACTGGCCCAAAATCACCCAGCCGGCGGGACTAGAACTCATGTCTCCTGGTTTCTATTACTATTTATCCTGCATTACTATAACTATTAGTCTTCTCGTCATCCCTATCACCTATCTCCTCTCACGTATGACTGCAGGGCTGTAAGTTTGTTGCTCTTATCCTTACAATTTATATTGATATTGATTGTTTCCTGATTACTTATTTGTACCCTATGACTATCATTGTTGTACCTTATGATTCTTGATGAATGTATCTTGTCTTTTTTTGTACACTGAGAGCTTATGCACCAAAGACAAATTCCTTGTGTGTCCAATCACACTTGGCCAATAAAGAATTCTGTTTTTTTTCTATTCTATTCTGTTCTATTCTATCTTATTCTATTCTATTGCTTTATTTTAGTTTGATCCCAGTTTGAGATCAAGTACAATTCCAATATGTTTTCACATTTCTCATCCCAGGCCAGATAGCCCACCTATTATCCTACTATCCATCCATCCTATCATCTCTGCATTTGGGTTAATTTTCCAAAAACCTTTATTTTGTTTTCAACCTGCTTGTTTCTCCAACATCCATGGCTTCCCAATGAAATGCACACATATACACGAGTTACCCTATCTCCTATTTAAAGGAGGGATACAATTACTGTATTCATTAACTCGTGTTTTCTCAACCGTGACAACTTTAAGATGTGTCGACTTCAGCTCCCAGAATTATGTAGCATTGGAAGTGGGGGGGGGGGTGATTCTGAGAGTTGAAGTCCACATGTCTTAAAAGTTGCCAAGGATGAGAAACACTGCACTAACCTAAGGAGTGGGGAGATATTTTTAAAGTGTGTAGGGCAGACTTCTTCTTTAACACATCCAGGTTTTTTTTAATTTTGTTTTGGGTTTTTTTAGAGTTGTTTGCCATGAGCCTCTGAAGAATAGGGGGAATATTGGCTTACAAATCACGGCATTATTGCACAAATGATATGACCTTACCTGGCTTGGATATCTTAACAGAATCTGAACTGCTTGAAGGACTGTCTTTTCCCTGTTGCATCTATCTGACCCACCAGAGTGGGAAGGCAGCAGGATTGGGATTCAGCCGGTTCGGGTGAACCAGATGTTAATTTTAATCTGATTCGTCGAACCGGTAGTTGCAAGGACTGGCTGGCTAGCCCCGCCCACCCCTCCCAGGAGTCTCCACACAGCCCATTTTGGATGCCAGGTAAATGCAGGGCCAGTGTGGAGGCTCTGAGAGGGCGAAAAATGGACCTACCAGAAGTATCGGAAGTCCAGAAATGATACCGGAAGTACCGGAGGTCCAGAGCCAGGGAGAGGCCGTTTTTGCACTCCCGGAGGCTAGAGGAAAACCTCCGGGGCCTGAGGAGGGTGAAAACATGCCCCCCTCATGGTGCAGGAAGCAGACTAGGCAATGCCCCCATGGCCACGCCCACCCAGCAACCGGGCAAAGAACTGGTTACTAAAAAATTTCAATCACACCCCTGGGAGGCAGACCTGTCTTACAGAGGTCCATCTAGTGAGACCAAAAATAAAAAGGCCTTCTATCCCTCTCTGTGGAATATCATCCCTGTAGAAATAAGACTGATACAGTGTTTTTTTGACATGGTTTGGCCAGCATACCTGGAGATCTCAGGGTGATACAGAGCCTAACAATAAGGTTTATTTCACTGTTGTTGTTGGGGGGGCAGGGGGAGAGGCAATGTGTTATTGGATTTTGTATTTGGGGTGTTGAGCCTGACTAGGTGGCTCAGTGGCTAAGGCACTGAGCTTGTCGATCAGCAGTTTGGCAGTTCGGATTCCTAGTACAGGTCTTCTGTGTGAGCAGGGGGTTGGACTAGATTACCTCCAAGATCCCTTCCGACTCTGTTACTGTGTTTCTTCTGTAAGCCACCAGGGTTACTGTGAGTTGGGCAGCCATATATACATTTTAAATAAATAAATAAAATTTATGTAAATTTACATCAAGTCTTTTGCCCAGTGGCATCCTGATCTACAAATAGACGTGTTAACATTCCTGTGGATTGATATGGATACTGTTGATATTAGCTACTTCTCCCCCATCTGCAAATCTGATAGGTCACTGATTTAAAAAAAGAAAGAAAGCTTTGTTGATTCCTTGTCATGTCAAGGAACACTGGGGTTTTCCTTTATAAATTGACTCATACAACAGATACTTTAAAACACTTTTAAGTTTCCTAAGTGGAAACTAATCTGGACTAGAAACTATATATTCACAGAAATCACAGACTTCTCTCCAGTTGCTAATATCTACCAATGCAAGAAAACAGATTACAACAGCAGGTGAGTACTTAGAGTCATTATGCAAATCATTCAAACTATAGATATGTTTGTACTGGGCACCAATCCAATTTAATGCTTTAAATGTAAATAAGGGCCCAGTTCCTAATCCCTAAAATACAATGCATTTGAATATGTGTTCATACCGAGCGGGAATTTCCAGAACTGTCATCTTAACGGACAGAGCTCTAAGTATGCATCGATAAACAAATGTGTGAATCGATTACGTCATGCAAATTAAGCACCTTCCTCACCTGCTGTGTTTTGCGGCTGTTGAATCATGCCACGAACTCGAGGCTGAGAGAGCTTCATCAGGAATGGTGCGATCCTGCATGCCAAGCGCATACCGACACTTAGCTGTTAAAGGGAAAACGTGAAAGGCTGAAAAATACTCTCTGTTAGTGAATGCAGTCACCAGATCACACCTACAGATAATCCTTGATTGTTGGAACAGGATCCGGAACCCACCACTGATATGACCCCCTGCACACTGCAACGTCATAAATATGAATAAGTTTACCAAATGTCTGAATTTAGATCACATTCAAAGAGAAGCTGGGCGAGACATCTGTCTGGCATTGTATTTTTTTTAAAGTATATTTATTTTGCTTTATATGTCTGGCATTGTATTAACCCACCTTCATGTACCAAGCAGAGAGTCAAATGGAGTCACCTAACTAACTGGTTCCTTTCAAAGGTTCTGATGTTTCTCTATTTTCCACTAGGAGGTGCTCTAATTTCACATACAAGAAGAGGGAGGCCACCAATTGGGTGAGTTTCAACAGAAATTTGAATCGAAACATAACAAATCCAAAAGATAATTGTATTGATTCAATAAACAACAACATGACTCAGCAGTTAAATTGGATTCTTTCAAGATTCCCCTCCCTTATCAAATGCTGGAAGCTTTTTGGAATTCAGCTCAAAAAGTAAATGAAAAGAAACTGGGGGGGGGGGACACAGGGTGACTCTAAAATGAAATTGAAATTGTTTGGTGGTAGCATTCAGTACGCAAGGAAAAACAAGGTTATGTTGTCAAATACATTATTCACTGATGGATTTTTCTCTCTTCCTCAACAGAGGCAGAATACAGAATAATAGAGTTGGAAGGGACCTTGGAGATCTTCCAACCCCTGTCAAAGCAGGAGACCCTACACCAGTGAGGGCTAACCTTTTGCCAAAAGCATGCGCATGTGTGACTATGCACCCACACTCCTAATGCAATGGGTGCATGACCCGCCCCCTGCGCATGTATGTGCGACCCACACACACACTCCCT